AGGATTGGACCTTTGCTTCTCACAGGGCTTTTTCTCCTTCGAGCGCTGCTGTCCACATCCGCTCTTCCGCAAGCTGCCGGAACCGGGTCAGGAGGCCCCGCCGAACCGGCAAGTTCGCCATCGGTCACCGAGATCGCCACTTCGGAAGGGAAGCCACCGAAGCCACTACCACTCGACTATAGGGGTGGTGGGAGTTGGGGGAGACGCGGAGTTGGGAACAACATGCCTTAGATGTTCCAACTGTGCAAAAGTCTGCCTTTTCATCTATCAAACCCGTCTAAAAGGCAGACATGGCAGACATGATTGGAAGATCCAAAAAGGTACAGGCAGACATTTCGCTGATGGAGTCGCATTTGTTGTTTCTGGCCACTTTTTTCTTTTTTCTGCCCAGCTTCCAGGTACAGGTTCTGGAGGGGCCATGGCAAGATCACCATCCCGGCTGTGATGCCACCTTTCCTTGGGCTCCAGCTGCTTTGATGCCTGCCCTTGCCCAAGCGGCGCACAAAGCCGAAGATACACTAAGACACGCAGGTGACCTGTAGTAGCGATGCCAGGAGCAAGCCATCCATCCACGGCATGTCAAGCAAGAACGGCAACGATGTCCAGAGCATATGCGAGCTACTTGCCGCACAAGACAGGTTTCTACTTGGTTTGAACATGTTTGAACCAGTGAAAGGCTGGATGCGAAGGTACGGTCCGGTCGAATACATTGGTCTTCGATGGTCTTCGGGGGGATGGCAGATCCACCCCGCAATCCTGCACCACGAGTGTCGTCTCATGGGCGTGTTGGGCTCCGTCCCGCATGTCACGCTTGGGTCTTCGCTGGACGCGTGGACGCTCGAAGGAGTCGAACAAGTCCCCCCGAGATGGGTCAGTGGGTGAAACGAACCGAAAACGAAAGGACGGGAGTAGAACGAGACACCTTCGAGATGAACGAACGCGCAGATGCACCGGCGTTTTTTGGAGACATGCTGCAGATGCACCCGCATCGCTGGCCTAGCACCCCCAGCAGCCCGATGGCCAGGTCAAGGTATTTGGTATTTGTGCTTTGTGACAACAACTTATCATAAGGGATTTAAAGATTTCAAGCCGCCTTCAGAAATGCATGTAGCTCACATCGCGGCCACACGATCACTGCGGTGTTCACACATCGCGGATCACGCGCGTGAACGCGCGTGGCATGGATCTGGCAATCGTCGCGGTCTCTGGGAGCCCCGGTCGAAGATCTTGGCTCGAAGAGCCTTGAGCTTCGAACAACTTTTATCGATTAACGACGCATGCTGGAGGCATGCATGTACGTGGTTGATGTCATACTGCCTGGGTCTGTCCGTCAAGTGCCAGGATGTTCTTTATATTAGCTGCAGAAATAGCATGACATCAAGTAATTAGATGGACATTGCAGGCGTTTTTCGGGCAACAACCACCATTCTGGCTTGACTTTCAAAAAGATTCAGCCCCCCCAAAAACGTGCATGTCTTTCCTCAAGCCAATGGCAGCTGGCAGCCATGCTGTAATTCCACATTGAACGACATCTGTGCATCCCTCGACTTTTGTGCACCTTGCTCGCCGCAACCGTTTGAGGGACCGGCTGTCGGACGCACGGTAGCACTGCTGGAAGCGCGGACCATGGGCACCACGGCGAAGAAGCGTCGGTTTCGGCGGCGACGGCGGAGCGGAGCGTTGTTCTGACTCGTCGCCGGTCCGAGCGGATCCGAGATGGAAACATGTGGAAAACATCAGGACATATATTGGCAGATATGGCAGACATGGCAATAAGATGAATAAGGATATGGATAGGGCCTAGGGATTCGTGATGATTCGTTAGGTTCCTTCTGAACATTTTGCGTACTAAGGTAAGTTTCTGAAAGCTGGGCGCGTGGTGGTCATGCTGCAGGCTAGTCGGTCACTGAGCAATGGATATATATGAACATATTTATGAACTACACTTGATGTCGATCGCAAGGGCCGCTACGCTGGGAAGAAGGCAGGGCTGAACCTCGTCCGCCACATCATTTCCACTCAGCAGGAAAGACCAGGAATATGAAGAAATAAAGCATATACATTGACTGACTTCAGATTCCCTCCAAAACCGTTTTGGGGATTGTCAAGCTCCACACAGCTCTATTTGAAGGACATTACTATTAGATTCTTAGATTATCTGCAATGTGGAGGGGTAGGTCTTGAGCCACTCACTCAACACAGACTGTGGCTACAAATGCTAGCCTGACCTGAAGCTTTTTTTGCTGTAATCGAGCCAGTTGACGGGGCCAGCTGAGTCAAATCTGCCAGCTGACGCGGCCGAAAGAGACCTATTGCCTATTTCATCCTATTTCTCCCCATAGCGGGATGCAGACTTCCTAGCCTGAGCGTATATTAAAAACAACCACTTCAATATTGCCATGCAACAAAATGGCTTCATCGATCCTACTGAAATACTGAAATACACGACACCGAAACACTTCCGAACTGCTGAAAAACAGCCCGAAACACGGCGTTTTTTAAATGTTTTTTTTGTTCGCAGGCGATTGTGGTGAAGGCCTTTGATGACGGCTCCAAGCAGCGTCCCTTCGGCCACTGCATGGTGGCGGGCATCGACCGAGCGCCGCTCAAGGTGACGAGGCCGGACGCTCGCGAGGGTCCCGCGGCGGGGGCATTTTTTGGGTTGAAAGAAATGCGACAGGCAAATGTCCAAGAAGAAGATCACGAAGCGCACCAAGGTGAAGTGGGCGCCTTAGTGGCTGCCGAGCAACCACGGTGGCTGCCCCTGTTCTTCCTCCTGGTCTCCAGTCCTCTCGTTGTTTTGAGGCCTTTCGTGAAGTATGTGAACTACAACCACATCATGCCCACCAGATACCAGGTGCCTGAGTGTCAGGGACTCCAACATCCGGAACGATGCTGACGATTCTGCACGGGGTTCGTGAAAATGAAGCATTTGGCAGGGGGGATGTCGAATCTGATGTTTCTGCACGTTCTCATATCACTTTCGACTCAGACTCTTCTCCGACACTAGCGACATAGTTTCACCATGATTCACCTACCGTTCAAACAATTCTGAGCTGTAATAAAGTGATTGGCAAAAGAATGCAAAGAGCACCGTTTCAACAGTTGTCCCGCAAAACACGGGAGGATTGGCCAGGAACGAGTGCCAAACACGGTCCCTTGTTCCATTTAAAGCAAGACGAGTCGCCCAGGCACCACTCGTGATGGCTTTATTTCGCTTGGCGTTTTTGTTGATTCGCTTGGCGCTTTCGCCACCAGAGAGGTGCCTGCAGAGATGTCCCCCGCCACCATTTGCACCGACCAGCAGATGGACTCTCTGGATGGTCGCAAGGAAGCCAGAAAGATGGCCAAGAGCCGCCTGGAACAAAATGGGAACCAGCTGTGCTTCACTCCAAACCTGGGTGAACCGCATTGTTGAAACGAAATCACACAAACACAGTTGGGTGGTGGATGATGTGACTTCATTTTTTGTTGAACGCCCGTGTGGTGGGAATCAGGTCTCTTCCAGGAGAAGTTCCAGGCACCACCAGCAGACAAGTCCGGTCGCCCTTCCAAGGAGCGTCTTTGGAACTGAGAACGGAAGAGATAGGGCGACGGTGTACTTTTTTTCTTAGTTGTTCGAAGTGACTCTTTTGAGAACATTTTGAACACATTCTTTCCTTCGACCTAAAAACACCTTCGTAGCTTTAATTCCTTTGTTTCTCTGCTGTTTGGGGGTGGTACTAGGACTTAGGATGTTTACTACATTATTGAACATCGAAGTACTCTCTCTCTCTCTCTCGCCTTTTACACATTCTTTGGGGTTGTATATGGTTTTGCTTTGCTGCTATGCACTGCAGGATGTCCTCTACCTGCGCAAGAAGCTGCGCTTCTAAGACATTGTGCTTCCATATTGCAGCTGTGCAGCCAAAAGGAGCTTTTGGCATATGTCCAACAGTGGACCCACATTCTAGAATTCAGCAGTCGCTTTGCGCCAATTCTGCAGGGCCAACACTTCTCTTGGCTCACCGGCCGGCAGCAATGGGGACATTTGTACATTTTCAAACCTAGGTGTTTGAGGACTTTTGAGGACCTCTCCTTGCACCTTGCATTTCTATTATGGAGCTGCTCCAAAACATCCAAATCATGCACCCACCTTTGGATTCTCCGCCACAACACGGACCGTGCCACTCTCCGGTGCCCACCCCACAGACCCACTCCACCCACACCCACTCCACACCCACTCCACACCCACTCCAAACGCGCCCGGACTGGCGAAGGCCCGTCCCCCTCCGTCCGTCCTCACCGGGTGGTCCGTGTGGCCGGGGACCTGCAACCATGGCGGAGCTGCTGTGCTGGACCGACTACTGGGTCTACCGGGAGTGTTGCAGCGTCCAAGCCTATGGACCCCAAGGACCCGCCGAGCGACCGCGTGGCCGAGCGACCGCGTCGGCAACGCGCCGTTGCCGTTTTCTTCACCGAGAGAGTCGGTTTTTGGGTTTTTGGGGACGAGTGAGGGAGTCTTCCTGTCGTTGTATTTGTTCTTTTCTTATTTTTTTTTGCGGAGGATTTTGCGGGTTGTTGGGAGAAACGGTGAATCAGCGATGTCAATAAGTCGTCTATATACAAATTGCAAATACATGATGATGCCAACATGGTGAACATTTTGTAATTCATCGTAGCATCCGCTCAAACATCAGCACTGGGAATCTTCCGGCAGACTGTGATGACTTGTGTGTCGACGCCGCTGATGACTGCGTTTGCATGGTTCTTTTAAACTCCAAAACCACTCTGAAGGATTGGACCTTTGCTTCTCACAGGGCTTTTTCTCCTTCGAGCGCTGCTGTCCACATCCGCTCTTCCGCAAGCTGCCGGAACCGGGTCAGGAGGCCCCGCCGAACCGGCAAGTTCGCCATCGGTCACCGAGATCGCCACTTCGGAAGGGAAGCCACCGAAGCCACTACCACTCGACTATAGGGGTGGTGGGAGTTGGGGGAGACGCGGAGTTGGGAACAACATGCCTTAGATGTTCCAACTGTGCAAAAGTCTGCCTTTTCATCTATCAAACCCGTCTAAAAGGCAGACATGGCAGACATGATTGGAAGATCCAAAAAGGTACAGGCAGACATTTCGCTGATGGAGTCGCATTTGTTGTTTCTGGCCACTTTTTTCTTTTTTCTGCCCAGCTTCCAGGTACAGGTTCTGGAGGGGCCATGGCAAGATCACCATCCCGGCTGTGATGCCACCTTTCCTTGGGCTCCAGCTGCTTTGATGCCTGCCCTTGCCCAAGCGGCGCACAAAGCCGAAGATACACTAAGACACGCAGGTGACCTGTAGTAGCGATGCCAGGAGCAAGCCATCCATCCACGGCATGTCAAGCAAGAACGGCAACGATGTCCAGAGCATATGCGAGCTACTTGCCGCACAAGACAGGTTTCTACTTGGTTTGAACATGTTTGAACCAGTGAAAGGCTGGATGCGAAGGTACGGTCCGGTCGAATACATTGGTCTTCGATGGTCTTCGGGGGGATGGCAGATCCACCCCGCAATCCTGCACCACGAGTGTCGTCTCATGGGCGTGTTGGGCTCCGTCCCGCATGTCACGCTTGGGTCTTCGCTGGACGCGTGGACGCTCGAAGGAGTCGAACAAGTCCCCC